TAATATCTATAGTTTATAAAGAATGCCTCCAAGGACTTAGAGAGTATTATGCTAAGCGAAATAGGCCAATCAGAGAAAGACAAATACCACATGATCTCACTTATTTGTGGAATGTAATGAACAAAATAGACCCAGAGACATACAAAGAAGTAGGGTTCAGACTGACAAACCTCAGACAAGGGGGGTGGGGGAGAGAGAAAAACCAAAGAACTTATATTCATATATGCATAACCAATGGACATAGATAACAATGCTGGGGGGGAGGGCGGGATCGGGACGAAGGTGTCTATGGGGGAAAAAGGAGAAACATATGTAACAAAAATAAATTAATAAAATTAAAAAAAAAACAATGCCTCCAGATCAGTAAGACAAAGGAAGCCCAATCAAAAAATGGGTAAAGGATAATAATTCACAGAAGAGGAATCTAATGGTCAGTAACATGAAAGATACTCAACCTTACAAGGAGTCAGATACGGAATATGGCTTTACTGCTTGTGATAGAGACATAAAGTAACAGTGGCATAAAAAAAGATAAACATTTGTTCTGGCCTGGTGGTTCAGTTGGCTGGAACACCATTCGTTCACCCAAAGGTTGTGGGTTTGATTCCTAGTCAAGGCACGTACCTAGGTTTTGGGTTTGATCTCGGGGTGGGACTCACACAGGAAGCAACCAATCATTCTCTCTCTCTTTCTCTCTCTCTAGTCAGTCTTTATTCTGGGTGACCCTTTGTCCAGCTAAAAATTGGGGTTTCTATCACTATAGTGGAAGGGGAAAAGTTTAGGGGAACAGTCTATACCACATCAGGTGACCAAAGAGTATTTCACACTCATTTTATTGGAAAAAAAATTAAACTTTTGAGAACAAATGTTGGTAATGACGTGGAGCAAAGTGAATTTCCATATGCTGCTTGTGGAGCATGCAATCCATTTGGAAATCAACTTGACAATATTGAGTAAGGTTAAAGATGCACATACATACTCTCTGAGGAAGCAATTGTGTTTCTGGGATAAACTGTAAGCAAACTCTTCCACGTGTGCACAAGTGGACATGTACAAGAATGAGTTCAATATTATTTGAATGATCAAAATAATTGGCAAATTTTAAATGTTCATTAACAGGACAATGAATCAATTGTGCTATAGTCATAAGATGGAATTTTATAAAAGAGTGAAGATGAAGAATTACATGTATCATCAATGGATAAATCTTAAAAATATAATGTTAAGGCACAAAAGCAAGTTGTGGAAGGATATGTGCAATATACTGTTTAATAAAGTTTTAAAAGTGCAAAACACCTCTATATATTGTTTACAGAAATACATGTATTGTATTTTGGGGCACCTGACAAATAGCACCCCCTCTTCCTGCCTTATGTCTGAACTAGTTGAGAAATCAAACAAGAGTCAGTAGGTGAAAACCAAAATACCACCTTCATCAAACATCTGACAAACATTTGTCCATCTGACAAAGAATAGATTGAAAGCTATGGCTTAATATGAGAACTGAAATGCTCTTGCTAACTCCCTACTGTCAGTATAGACTTTAGAGCAGTTTGCCTACAGAAAGTTTGCAGAGCAAACTGGACCTCCCCTGCCCCTTAGGTCACTGCCTCCCACTGATTAGGTAGAGAGGGGAAAAGAAAGAAATTAAATCTCTTACCTTCAGGACATGTTATTTGACAGACCCACCTAGCCCAGAACCCTGAACCAACAACTGTCACTCACCAATCAAGGTCGGGGCAAAGATCCAGGAGGGTTTAAGGAAAATCTTTCCTTAAGGAACCAGAGGAATGGGGTAGAGGTATCCTAACACATATAAGTTTAAAAATATTCATGGGGCCCTGGCCGATTTGGCTCAGCGGTTAGAGCGTTGGCCTGCAGTCCAGAGAGACCTAGGTTCGGTTCCCGCTAAGGGCATGTACCTTGGTTGCAGTTTGTCCCCGGCCCTGGTTGGGTTGTGTGGGTGGCAGCCACTCTTTGTGTCTCTTTCATGTCAATGTTTCTCTCTCTCTCTCTCTCTCTCTCTCTCTCTCTCTCTCTCTCTCTCTCTCCCCCCTTCTTTCCTCCCTCCCTCCCACTCTATCTGAACAAAAAATGGAAAAATGTTCTCGGATGAGGATAAAAAAATATATATATATTCATGGGGATTGTAATAAACAAATTCAACCTAGTCATTACTCTTAAGGCAGTGGTTCCTCACTCTGGCTTGTATCAGAATCACCTGGAGGGCTTGTTAAAACATGGATGACTCAACCCCAACCTTAGAGTTTCCAATTCAGTCAGTCTGGGATGGGGCCCAAGAACTGGCATTTCTGACAAGTTTGCAGTTGATGCTGATGGTGTTAGTCTTGTGACCACACTGAGAATCACTGCCTTAGGGTGAGGTGAAGAAAAGAAATGGTATCAAGGAAAGGTAAGCAGAAAGATATAATTATATTTTTGGTGTTTTATTTCTTGAACCGAGCGATAGGTGTTATTATTTTCTACAGTGTCTTTTTAATCACAGTAATGAAATGTTTCCACATACAGAAGTAATGATGGAGTATATAACACTCTGGAAAATGCTGCCTTAATACTTAGAAATCATCTGGTTACTTAGACTTTGGAGGAGTAACATTAAATTCAGATTAATTTGAAAGAAGTATGTTAAAATACATTTTTATAGGTTAAATGATTAACAATATAGAGCAATAATTGTTACTACTTGTTACAGTTTTGTAGGTCTTTCAAATTGTCTCTATACTTACTAAGATTTATCATTTTTAATCAGAAATATTTTATTGTGTTTCCCAATAAGTTCTTTAGTTTAAGATACTAAAACCTATACTGTTAAAAGATTTAATATTTTCTTTATTACTTATTTTTATTGAGGTACAATGGACATACAACATTTCTGGTATACAACAAAATAATTTGATATTTCTAAATATTTCAAAATGATTACCACAATAAGTAGTCAACATTTGTCACCATACATAGTTATAAAATTTAGTTTTCTTGTGATGAGAACTTTTAAGATCTACTCTCTTAGCAGCTTTCAAATATGCAATGCAGTATTATTAACTGTAGTTACCAAGCTATACATACTTTGTCTTACGTTTAACTTATATTTCATGTGAAATTTAGCAATTTGAATTCCAAGGACCAGAGAATATGGGTTTCTTTTAGTTTTCTGGAAACTCCTCCCTTTTCATTCCAATCTGATCTGGTAAAGAATTTATGTTTCTCTTTGCTTTTTGACTAAATAGCCTTTTAAAACTCCCCTTATCTTACTGATTGAATTGTAACATGCTCAGATATTCTTAAATATGCAGATAACTGTTAAAAAATGTTTTACCTTTGAACATTTTATGAGCTCTAGAATTTAAGTGGCTTGCCAGTTTGTATAGCAATTCATGTATTAATAATTAAGTATAGAATATATTTTTCTATCAGTTTAGCCATTCACAAAGAATTTTTAGGAGCATTACAACTAAATGATGGCCACTTGCATGGGAGTTAAAAGGTAAGTCCTTGGTGGGCATATGTGATATCCTGCACATTCCAGCAGCATCTATCAGTCCCAAGTATCCACAAGTCAAACTTTTGGATAAGTATTGAAAATGTAAGTCAGTGCTAGAGAGTATCTAGTTAGATGTTCATTCTCATTCTTATCAGCAGGAGTGTAATTAATATATCCCACCTTTCTGAAAAACAGTGTAGCAGAAGATATTAAAAGCTTTGAAAATGGTTATACTCTTTACCTCAGAAACTTCCTCTTTCAGGGCTACGCAGGGACATGATCTGAAATGCCAACAAAGATTTGTGTGCAAATGCTCATTATATTATTGCTTAAATTTAACAGTGGTTCTCAACCTTCCCAATGCCGTGACCCTTTAATACAGTTCCTCATGTTGTGGTGACCCCCAACCATAAAATTATTTTCGTTGCTACTTCATAACTGTAATTTTATTACTGTTATGTCTTAGATGACCCCTGTGAAAGGGTCGTTTGACCCCCAAAGGGGTCGCAACCCACAGGTTGAGAACCGCTGGCTTAAAACAAGGGGATGTTTTAAGGTGATGCTATGATCTAAATATTCAATTATAAGAGAATAGTCAAGTCATTTATGGGTTATTATGCCATAAAATAATATCTTTTACAGTTATTTTTAAAAATCTTTATGAAATGAGAAGGTTCTTAAGTTATAATCTAATATGAAATTTGCATATGTATACTGTGTATATTATTGCATTTTATTTATAGTATGGTTTTAAATATAGGCATAGAAAATGACCAAAAAATTGTCTTTTAATAACGGAATCATGCATGATTTTATTCTTTGTCCTTTTCTGTATTTAAGAAAATATACAATAGAACTTTGTTTTAAAAGATTCTTGTTACAAAAAATATATATTGTCCTGTAGTATTAAAGTTCAGTCCATATATATTTTCTGACCTTCCAGTTCCAATTTTCACATAAAATGCTTTAGGTTATCTAAGAAGCCATTTAAATATATTTAAACAATAACTGTTTAAAGCTCTCTTTCATCACACCATTCAGAAATTTTGGTATCTTTTTAAAGCAACTTATTCCTCATAGTGATGAATTTTATATGTAATTTATAGACCTCATTATAAATTTTGTAGCCTCATCCAATTAAAAATTTTATTGGGCTCTTTCTTAAATAACCTTTTAAATACTTTATTGTATAGATTGATTGCCTAAAGCAGTGTTTCGCAACCATTTTTTTAAATCATCAGCTCCCTAAGGAGCCTTTGTAGACATTTTTCCATAATTGTTCCCACCCTATGAAATTTTAATACCTGCTTATGTACTATATGTATAGCCGTAGTTTATATAGAAACTAAGATGTTTTCCACTCTTTCAGGAACCAATTTTCACCCCTTTGGTGGTGATATTGCCCCCTTTGAGAATGTGTGGCCTAAAGGAACATTATAAAAAACTGTTATTTTAACTTTTAAAATGAGTCTCAAGCCCACATGTTTTGTTTTTATAGCTGCCTGCCTCTCAAACATCACATGGTGACCACTCCAACACTACTACTGTGGGGAGAGAAAGATGCATTTATGGAGGTTGAGATGGCTGAAGTCACAAAGATTTATGTTAAAAACTATTTCAGGCTAACTATTTTGTCAGAAGCCAGTCATTGGCTTCAGCAAGAACAACCTGACATAGTGAACAAATTGATATGGACATTTCTAAAAGAAGAAACAAGAAAGAAGGATTGACTTTTCTATATCTTCTATGAGAGGATTGGAATAAAATCTCTAAATAATTTTTTTAAATTGCTCATCAACTTCTTTAAGATTCACAAGGAAAAAACTGTTTTCAACATGCTTTATCATAAATAAATATCGTGACAAATGTTACTGAAAAAAATCTGAGTATGTGTGTGAACTTGTAATATAATGTTGATTTTCTTCTGTTGTACTTCACACAGAAAGTCACCTGCCTTAAACTGTATGCACTTTACAAAAAGGAAGTTGGAGAAAGTGACTCAGTTTTGGTTTCTTGCCTTCTTTACCCTGTTAACATATGGTGCCTCTTACATATATATATTAAAGATTATCCATATTAAAAGGCTAACCTGAAATGGTATAAATTTTCATTTTATTATTCAAAAGTTCTTTCAATTAATTATTATTATTATTATTATTATTTTTTAATCCTCACCTGAGGACATTTTTCCATTTTTTTTGTTGTTGTTGTTCAGGTAGAGTGGGAGGGAGAGAGAGGAACAGAGAGAGAGAGAGAAACATCGATGCGAAAGGAACACATCGAGTGGCCGCCACCCACACAACCCACCAGGGCCGGGGACAAACTGCAACCAAGGTACGCGCCCTTAGCGGGAACCGAACCCGGGTCTCTCAGGACCGCAGGCCGACGCTCTAACCGCTGAGCCAAACCGGCCAGGGCTCAATTAATTATTTTTAACCATTAAAATTCTATTATCAAATCTCTTGGATTTATAGTATATTTATTAGTTTGAAGGTAAATATGATTAGATGAATATGCCTTCTTAAAATAGGCCATAAATACTACTTATACTGGGAAGATTAACAGGAAATGATGTGAAGATTCTCATATATACATATATATTTATTAAACCTTGCAAAGTAAGGTAGCATATCCATTAAATTATTTGCCTTGCCCTGGCCAGTTTGGCCCAGCAGTTAGATTCAGCCCACAGACTGAAGGGTCGAGGGTTCAATTCCTGGTCAAGGGCACATACCTGGGTTGCAGGTTGGATCCCTAGCTCCGGGGTCATATGGGAGGCAACCAATCAGTGTGTCTCTTTCATGGCGATGTTTCTCTCTCTCTCTCCCTCCCTTCCACTCTATCTAAAAATCAATGGAAAAATATCCTTGGGTGAGAACAATAACAACAACAAACAAACAAAGTTCTTGCCTTAATTCTCCAGTTAAGTTAGTGATTTAGAACAAGGATCAAAAAGTCCTTTTGCCCCACTCAGTACAACAAGCATTGAATACTGTACTTCTTCGGTGCACTAGAATCTAAACTCCACGGGGGAAAGACTTTTTATTATTTTACTAACTGACATATCTAGCATCTAGAAAAAAGGACTGTCTCACTGTAGGAACTCAAATATTTGCTTAATAATAATATATCTGACACACTGCTAGGCACTGTGGGAGAAATATAAAGGAAAGATGACTATATGACAATATAGACCTTTCCCTTTAGAAACATACACAGAATGCAGTTAAATTAAACAAGGGTTCAAGAATAGTAATGAAGGTACAAATACAAGTGGGAAGAGTTACAGAATGGAGAGCAATACTGGCTCAAGGGACTACTCATTCTCTTGGGTTGCTCTCCTTGGCAGGGGAGACAACCAATGACGATGCCAACTCATGGCTCCTTAGGGACTACAATTGTGTTCCCTTAGTGAAAGGAATGTTTCCCTCCCTAAGCATAGTTCTGACAGTGACAGAAGAAAGAGGACTAAGAATTCTCATCATTGTATCCTAGCAACCTGTATTTACTAGTAAAGGCCCAATTTGCTATACACATTATGCTTGTGCCTCATAACAACATTGCAAGGTAGGGAGTAGTACCAATTTACAGATGTGCAAATGAGGTTGGCCAGTACCCACAGTATAAGTGTTGGAACCCGGATCTGACCTAGATCCATCTGGTTGTAAAGCCCATAATCTTTATACTTAGATCACATTCTGTTTAACAGGCTCTGGTGTCCACACTACTCTTCTTGTCTATTGCTATCCTGGTGTGCTCCAAGAAATAGAAACATCTCTCAGAAACCTTCAATTTGACTTTTAGTTCTGAGAAAAGGAATTTAAATGAGTAATTAGCAAATAGGAATATTCTGTATAGCACTGTCAGAGTTGCAAATGCTACAAAGTATAGAGGAGAGCCTGGTTCACACCAGCTTTGAATATGCTTCCTTCTTGATCATTTCCAAAAGATAGCAATAGTCTGGCCGGTGTGGCTCAGTGGTTGAGTGTCGACCCATGCTCCAAGAGGTCGCTGGTTTGATTCCTGGTCAGGACACATGCCCAGATTGTGGGCCAAATACTCAGTGGGGGCATGCAGGAGGTGGCCAGTCAATGTTTTCTCTCATTGATGTTTCTCTCTCTCTCCCTTCCTCTCTCTAAAAAAAAAACAATAAAGGAAAAAAAAAAATAAAAAAGAAAGCAATAAAAGGAAGGGACAGGAGTTTGTTAACTATGTGTGTTGACACAATGAAGTAATCCTGACTTATTTTACTGAAAACCTGTTACAAAGATGATCTTAAAGTTTGTTGCTGTTACTTAATCAGTTTGAGTGCTGGCTGGTTCATGTGGAGTAATGTTAAAAGTATGAACCAAATGTGCCATGGCTAATTCTGGTCTATGATAATGAATATATTGATTCTCAATGGATGTGGAAGAATGTTTGTAACAGATATAAAGACTCAAGGGTGCCATCAGTTAAAACTCTTAGCATAAAGAGATATTACTGTCTCTATAGAAATCAATTTATAGGGAGAGAAAATGAATTTGACTTAACAGCCGCCAAAGCATCTCACAGTAAATACACTGTACTAATAATGGCATTTGCATTTAAATATTGTCAGTAATATTCATATATTTAAATCAATATATATATATATATCCCTTGTAGCTATATACTATATGCTTAATATAAATGTCAGAAACTGTTATATGAAAATAACTTATTAAACATATATATCAAAAAGAAGACCCAAAGACGTGGAAGTAGGTTACAGACTAGCAATCCCCAGAAGAGGGGGTGGGGAAGGAGAGATAAACCACAGAATTTATATGCATGTATGCATGACCAATGGACATGGACAACAAAGCTGGGGACAGGGTGGGGAGGGAGGGGGAGGAGGGTGTCAATGGAGGAAAAAGGAGAAACATCTGTAACAAAAATAAATAATTAAAATAAAAGAAGACATTTACAAAAAGCATAAAAAGATTGTTCTGTCCATATAATTCTAATTCTCCTGCTACATCATTTACCATTTTTAATTTTTCAGATTTTAAAGGTAATACATCATTTGCTATTAACACACAATTGCCTCTAAGAGTTCTAATTATGTGCAAACATAAAGAGCACTATGGGGAACGAATGCGCTCTGGGGGCCAACCCAGATTCCAGCTACCGGCAACCTGAGACCACTGAAGACCACATGAGCCTCATGGAGTTGGAGGTGTGTGAGTCCAGCAGCTTAGGGACGAGAAGCTTAGAGAGGAGCAAGTCCCTTTACCCACCCGCGGTGGCCAACCCCTTCGTGCAGCGGACGCACATCAGCGCGAGGCGCTGGGCCTTTATCATCCTCGTGGGGGCTGTGCTGGTGCCTGTGCGGGTGTCCTGCATCGCTGTCCTCTTCATCTTCCTCTGGCTGATAGCTGCGCTGTCCACCATAGGCTGTTCTGCTCACCCAGACAAGCCCGCCAACAGCTGGAGAAGAAAACTGATGCAACCAGCCCTCAAATTCCTGTTTCAGGTGACTTTCCTTGTAGCAGGGTTCCTGGTTAAAGTGAAAGGGAAAAAGGCAACCCGAGATGAGGCCCCCATCTTCGTTACAGCACCGCACTCCAGTTTCTTTGACGCCATCGCCTGTGTCGTGGCAGGGTTACCCTCGGTGGTCTCTGCAAGTAAAAATGCACAGATCCCAGTGGCTGGGAAATTCCTACTATCAACACAGCCGGTGCTTGTGACTCGAGAGGACCCCAATTCCAGGAAGACTACTCGGAATGAAATCCTGAAGCGAGTGATGTCCAAAAGGAAGTGGCCACAGATCATGATATTCCCAGAAGGGGTGTGTACCAACCGCACGTGTCTGGTCACATTTAAACTGGGGGCCTTCTCTCCAGGTGTTCCTGTGCAGCCAGTGCTGCTCAGGTACCCAAACTCCCTGGACACGGTGACCTGGACCTGGCAGGGGTTTACAGGCTTCCAGGTGTGTATGTTGACCCTGAGTCAACTCTTCACCAGGGTAGAAGTAGAGTTTATGCCTGTTTACATCCCAAATGACCAAGAAAAAAAAGACCCCGTCCTTTTTGCCAATACAGTGAGGATCAATATGGCAAATGCTCTGGGGGTGCCTGTGACAGAGCACACTTATGAAGACTGCAGATTGATGATTACTGCAGGCAACCTTCAACTACCCATGGAAGCTGGTTTGGTGGAATTCACAAAAATTAGCCACAAATTGAAGTTAGATTGGGATAATATTCATCAGCATTTGGATGAATATGCTGCAATCGCTGTTGCCTCAAAAGGACAGAAGATAGGAATTGAAGAATTTGCAAGTTATTTACAACTCCCAGTTTCAGAACCCTTGAGACAACTTTTTGCCCTTTTTGACAGGAATAATGATGGCCACATAGACTTCAGAGAATACGTGGTAGGGCTGACTGTTCTGTGCAATCCTGCCAACACTGAAAGGATCCTGCAAATGTCATTTAAGCTTTTTGATCTTGATGAGGATGGTTTCATAACACAACAGGAATTAGCTGCTATACTTCAGGCAGCTTTTGGAGTGCCAGATCTTGATGTTTCCAGACTCTTTCAGAAAATAGCTAGACAGAACTCACAGTATATTTCATACAATAACTTTAAGAATTTTGCCTTGAAGCATCCAGAATATGCCAAATTATTTAATTCATATTTAGATCTCCAGGCAGCCTATATATACACGTTATCACACGTACAAGTTTAATTGCTGTATTTAAACATTAAAGTCAGCTCTGAAAAAGGTGCAAGTATCTTCCTGGTAGAACTATGAAATAAAAATATTTCTTTGAGTAAAAGCGCAATAGTTTTTACTCTAAGTGGCCTGGGCACTTAGTTATATTTAAAATGTGCTTAAGGAACACATATTTCAATCAGACTTTATAGTACCTATTTTTTTCATTTGAGGAATAAAACTTATATTAGACATAGTTGCCCCAACAGCAGCAGTATTAGTAAATATCTCATTTCCTTGATTTAACATACTAAAAAGTATAATTTTAGGGGAAAAAAAAAGATCCTTAAATGTGTACATCTATTATAAAACTACTGTTTTTAAAGATATAATTATTTTAGATATGTAAAATGTGAGAAAATGTGTGCTTTAGAATCTAAGAAATACAGGGACATGTCATGTGTAGCAAGCGATGAGATCGCTGTTGTTCTTGAGAAGAAAGCTGGCGACCGAAGAGGCAGTACAGTGCCCTATGCACATAGACAATGGTCAAGTCATCTTGACACTCTCAACAACCGTCCTCACCACCCACTCAACCTTCAGCTCTCTGCCCATCCCTTATGTCCAGAATAGCTAATGCTCATCGATTCTAGATAATAGGTCTTTTTTTTTTTTCCCTCATGGAAGTTATTTTTAACTAGGTTGTTTTGATTCTCCACTATGGATGTTGACAGTAACTGACAGTCTAACAAACGTACATGGTGGAAACATGTTCTTAGTGATAATGACAGAATAGCCAACAGAGTGTTACCTATGTGAACTACTAACCTTTGTGTTTATTCTGAGCAAATGAGCAGTATATGGACATTTGAAATATGTGTCTGTTTAAAATTCTGTCATGTGAGGTTAGTTCAATTCTGTAGTCCCTTTTGTTTTGTTTTTTAATTTTTTTTTCTTTATTGATTTTTAGAGAGAGGGGAGGGGAGAGGGAGAGATAGAAACATCGATGAGGAAGAACATCAATTGGCCGCCTCCTGCATGCCCCCCATTGGGGATCAGGCCCACAACCTGGGCATGTGCCCTGACCAGGAATTGAACTAGTGACCTCTTGGTGCATGGGCCAATACTCAAACACTGAGCCACACTGGCTGGGCTCTATAGTCCATTTTGTATTTTTTCTGTATGAAAAGTACCTGACAATGGCATCACTAGTTGTTCATCAGCCTCCTTTCCATTATGTCAAGTGTGAGTGTGTCCACCCTCTGTGAGTCTGTAAATTTACCATGATACATATACGTGGAATGGATTCCTCATGCATGGGGTTGACATCTCCTTTGGGCATATGGACTCTGATTTGTAACATCTGTGTGCTTCCTTTCTTGTACCATAGCCACTAGTTTCTGTTTAATTTGGTTCCTGTCTAGGGCCTTCACATTTTTGTTTACATAGTTTTTCAACTTTTAAAAGTATTATCAGTATGAAGGTTAGTTCAATGGAAGTTACTTTTCTGTGCCTGGAACACAACTCCTGGGCATCCTGGGCTCCAGCAGAGGGTGGGCAGAGCAAACTGGAGTCCTGTAAAGAGAGACTGAGATCTGTGGCTCTGGGGAGAGAGCCCACGGGACAGCTCTCAGGACCCCTGTGCTGAGTCACTCTCCCGATGGTCAATATGGTGGTTTCAATGTAACTTAATGGTAGAAGAATAAGAAATCTAGTCATAAGACTTGTTTACCCAATATGCTCCTAGTTAGCATGCCTTTATTTTGCTCAAATAAGGCCAGAAGGACATTGTAGCCCATCACCTCTCCCTCATTTTTGCAGAAAAAAAGATATCTCATTAAGAGCTCTACTGGCAATAAATAAATACATTAAATTATCATTTTTTATTCTCGCTAAAAAATATTTGTTGGATAAATTACCCTTTCTCAAAGTAGCCCAAATGTTCTTATTTTACAAGGCAAAATAAAAATAAACAAGAGGAAGATATAGTATTGGGAATACCATTAAAACAGTTATTTATGACGGCTACATTTTATTTACTTATTTATCTTTTAGGTATGAAAGTGTTATGCAGAATGAGAAAAGGAATCATAACAGACTACAATTTCTGAAAAACTATCACAAACATGGGTTATAAATACTGGAATTCTGACAAATTCTATTTTTATATGATTCTCAAAAAAGGGGAAATTACATGTTCTGCATTACTGAGAATATTCCTTTTGTTCTGACTAGGCACCGATGAGAGCTAAAGCCTCTACTTGCTGTTGTGTACCACCTTCACTACCCACATACTTCCAACACCCTTTGCTATAAGACATCTTCACATAATGACGTGACCTAGGGTTCTATCATTTCATGTCACCATGTGGGGATGAATCATCTAAGTATTCCTAGAAGCCATTTCTACACCAGGACAGGGAGCAACTGATCTAGATGTGAAGTGATTGTGAACCAATAAATATGCCTTTCTAATCCAAACTACTGTATTCCCAACTTAGTTTCATTATGGCTAACTAAATCCCCAAAATGCCTATAGCCATTCAGTGTCATCAGATATGAAGGGGACATTTGACTAAGGGGAAAGAAAGTCTTGATCATTTGTAGTCAAACTCTCTTACTTTTGCAAACTTTACAAAAAACATACCCAAGTAGACACATTTGTAGGGACCCTACTAGAGACTTGGAATGGGTTTGTGCAATCAGGGCCCCTAAAGCTTAAACTTCATTAGTTAGCGTCCTGATATTTTGAGGAGAAAGGAAGAAGAAATGAATGGGAGAAAGGTGAGCAGATGGGGAAAGCTTAAGAGAAAGAAAAACAATCAAATATTGTTTTCAGATCATTTCCCTGTAGTTCTCCCCTGAGAAGAGATGAACAAGTGATATTTCATAATCCTCACTGTCTCATCCATTTGGGCTGTCATAACAAAAATACCATAGACTGGGTGGTTTAAACAACATTTATTTCTCACGGTTCTGGAGGCTGGGAAGTTCAGCATCAATGAACTGGTAGATTTGGTGTCTAGTGAGAGCCTGCTTCCTGGTGCGTAGATGGCTGGCTATCTTCTTGCTGTGTCCTCATCTAGAAAAAGAGCTCTCTGGAATGTCTTTTATAAAGGCACTAATCCGCTGTGGCCAGTTGCTCAGTGGTTAGAGCTTCGGCCTGAGATCTGGAGAGACCTGGGTTTAGTTCCCGCTAAGGGCACGTACCTCAGTTGCAATTTGTCCCCGGCCCTGGTTGGGTTGTACGGGAGGCAACCACTTGATGTGTCCCTTCCACGTTGATGTTTCTCTCTCTCTCTCTCTCCCTCTCCCTCCCACCCTAGCTGAACAAACTATCGAAAAATTTCCTCGGGTGAGGATTAAAAAAAAAAGTAAGGGAACTAATCCCATTCATGAGGGCTCCACCCACATAACCTGATCTCCTCCTAAAAACCCCACCACCAAATACCATCTCATGGGGGATTAGGTTTCCATATATGAATTTTGGGAGGACACAAATATTCAGTCTATAGAACCCACTCAGCTTGATATTGCCATGATAATAATGCATATACATGTCATTCAAATACAATGATTTTTAAGATGTACTGGAAAATAGTAATGTAAATAAGAGATTTTCACTTAAAAGTAGTTGCCAAGGTATATCTGTTCAAATAATGGTACTACTACTCAAATATATGTTTAACTAAGATTGTTTCTGATTAGAAAATGAGCTATACAAAAAATTAGGGTCATTTATTTATTTTTCATTTTTCCAACAAGTATTTAGTATTAGTTAAGCCATGATTCAGGATCTCAGGGTGAGATATACCCAGGTCCCTTTTCACCACCCTGGGAAAAAGAAGGAAGACGGAGAGGTGGGGTGCAGCCAGTTCAGATCTTCTCAGGAAACTGCCTTCTGTACTGTGGTCACCCCAGGCTGACACCCAGGATATCCGGCAAAAGGACTTGTACCCATGTAGGTACCATTTGTACATGGAAACATCGTCCCCTCTAGTGGTCACTGCCTTCTTGCAGTGGTAGAAGTCTAGGTAGTTCAGCCAACAGTTCCCAGTCCGGTTCTGGTTGCAGAAGTGGCTGTCAAAAGGGACAGTCTGGCCTGGCCAGTTTGGCTCAGTGGTAGAGCATTGCCCCATGGACAAATGAGTTGCTGGTTTGATTCCGGCCAACGGCACATGCCTCCGTTGAGGTTCATCCCTGGCCCTGGTCGGGGTCATGTGGGAGGCAACCAGTTGATGTGTCCCTCTTACGTTGATGTTTCTCTCTCTCCTTCTCATTCCCTCCCACAATATCTGAGGATAAATAGAGAAATATCTTCGGGTGAGTATTAAAAAAAAAAGGGACAGTCTGGTTGTTCTTGGTTTTGGTCTCGATGTCTTTGGCCATGTTGCTGACTCCTAAAGATGCCCTGAAATCGCTCACAGCTCAGTTTGACCCTCAACAAAGCCACCTCCGCCTGACCAGAAGGGGAATTCTGGGTCATTTATTATACTCTACCTTTTAACTCAAAATGTTTAACATAACTTTATTTAACCCTTTAATACATAACACTTAAAAAAATCTTTACTGTAAAACAAATACAGATAAAACCACATCAAACAAATATATAGCTAATATAATACATATTAAATACATATAATATTTTAAAAGATGAACACTCTTGCAACTAACACTCAGATCAAGATGTAAAACTTTTCCAGTCCCTTGGGCCCCCAATCATAATTACAACCTTTTCTTTCCTTCCAAAATTACTTTCCTGACTTTTATATTTTCACTTCCTGTGTTTCTTTACATTTTTATCATCTAAATGTGCATTCTTCCTTATCTGTAAATTGGGCTCATAGCAGTACCTACCTAAATGGTGGTTGCTGCTGATTAATTGGATTAATATATATAAAGCAGGTAGGACCGTTTTCTCACCTAATAAGCATTCACTAAATATTAACCCTTATATTATCTCTGACACTCTTGTTTTCTACAAGAACAAGAATCAATTATCCAGTTACATTTTAATTAAGGTGTCTGAATAATTGAGAAGGGCATTATTTGGAGAAATGGCTACTTCTTGACCAATTTTACAGTACAAGGTCCATATATTTTCCAAGCAATTAATATTTCATTTGTTATCTTGTACAGAGCTTCCGAATGAAGCAGAACAAATGAACTTTCTTCCTTTGGAGAAGGCACAGTATTAAAATAAAAAATTTTTAAAACCAAAAGACTTTTAAAATGATTCCACTACAGCTCCTGTAACTCATCAATTCTCCCACTTCCCTGCGCAAAGGCTTTGCCCCTACAACTTTACCTTCTCTCTTCATCGTCCTAAATTTTGTGGCTTTATAAACAAAGTGCTGGAATATAACCCGACATTGTCACCTTAAGTCCAAGAGCAGTTATATGAGCCACTCTAGATGTTGTATACACCCCCTGCAAGGGAGTGTTCTGACTCCTGGTGGTTTTAGGTTCTTCCCCGCATCCTAGCACCTCCAATTCTTCTTGCCTAAAGCCATTAAGTGAGAAAGTGCCAATCGCCACGCCACTGGACCGGTCTTGTGAACCTGTCTTTGGGGAGCGGTGGGGGGGAAGCTCTGATAGCCCACATAGGTAGAAAGGATGCACAGGTAGATTAGAACTCGGCTCTCAATGAAACACCTATTAAAACGAATGGTTAGCACCAACCCGAAAGCAAAGAAGAGGAACCGGGATAAGAAGCACGAGGGATTGACTGGTCCCGGGGGTACCGTTTCCCCCCGCGCAGTGAGGGGCGGGGTACTAGCTGGCAGAGGTAAACAGAGCTACTACGCCTGCGCACAGCCTTCCCGGGTCACGTGCCGGCGGGCCCCGGCCTCCGGGGTTTTCCCGGACTGCTCTTTGGCTGCTGTAAGGGACAGTCTACAAACTGACAAGAGGCGTCAACCTTTTCCCTTAGGGGGCGGATTCCGGTAGGAGCCGAGCGTTCGGTCGGAGACGCCCCTTTCAGCGTGAGGCGGGGAGAGAGGCTGTGCCCGGAGCCTGCAGGGCGCCGCCTTACCTTTGTGGGACATGGCCCGCTGTGGGGAGGGTGGCGCGGCCCCGATCGTACAGCTGGGGTCCCCTGGAGTTTGCAGTAAGGGGTTACCAAGGAAGGGGCCGTGTGAGCGGCGCCGGCTGAAGGCGTTGGTGTCGGAGCAGCTCGGCCAGGATCTGCTCAGGTAGGAGGCGGCGGGAACCCTGGCTGCTTCGTTCCTAACGCGCCCACCTCCGCCCCTGAAGCTGCGGCTGCTTCTCGGTGTCCGTCCCTCCACCTTGTTCTCCTCGCCTCCGGCCACAAGTGTTTCTAAGTTTAAGCAGTTTGAAGAAAAATGGTAAAACGAGGCAGGAAAACAGAAAACAAAAGAATATTTATTTAGAATGAAGAAAACGAGAACAAATTACTGGAGCGTTGGAGATCTCTTGCTTCTGAGCCCTCTTTAAACAGTTGACCAGAAATGCTTCCATAGAAAGACTTCCCGATTGCTACCTGGCTGCTTCTCTCCCCCCAGAACACTCTCTAGCTCCCAGCAACTCCCAGCTCTCTTGAAGACCCAAGCAGATGGAGGGTTATCGGGAAGCTTAACCGAGGCTACGGTGAATCCTGCTAAAGTCACCTCAGTTTATAAAGAAAATGAAACTTAGAAGTATTCCCTAGCTAATTTCCATTCCTACCAAAACATTGATTCTCCAACTTGAGTGTGCACCAAAATCACCTGGAGGGCTTGCTAAACTTTAGATTTACCGGGTCCCAGGCCATTGGTCTGATTCCGTTGGTCTGGGATGGAGCCTGAAGTTTTTGCATTTCCAAAGAGGCCCCAGGTGATGCTGGTATTGCTGGGCTGGGCCCTGGCCTAGACTCCAGCAGTAACTGAACTAAACAGTTACTACTCAAATGAACAGTTGTGCAGCTTTCTGCGATTAAAAAGTGTCTCTGTTGTTCACTTTATTTTAAAAATCCTCACCCGAGGACATGTTTGCATTTATCTTCGGATAGAGCGGGAGGGAGAGAGGAAGGAAGAGAGAGAGAAAAATCATCGATGTGAGAGAGATGCATCTACTGGTCGCCACCCACACGACTCCAACCGGGCAGGGGACAAACTGCCACCGAGATATGTGCCCTTAGTGGGAACCGAACCCGGGACTCTCTGGTCCGCAGGCCAACGTTCTAACTGCTGAGCCAAACTGGCCAGGGCTGTTGTTCATTTTAAAAGGCTCCAGCAGCTACCAACTGAACTTTATAAGGTAAAAATACTTCCTTTTAATTTGGGCCTACCTATTTGAAATGCCCTTTTGTCTCCACCAGTGGTGGATTGATGTAAAAGATGGAAAAAAATAAGACTGAAGTTGTCCTGTTTTTAGGGCGAATCTAAGGATGAGGTGGTCCTGTTCTTCAGGGGCTCTATTCTTCTGGCTGTATTGTGAGCATACAGTGTCATGAATTTAAGGAAGATAACATATCTAATTTATATAAAGAAAATGAGGTTAAAAGTACATCAGGTGAACAATTTATCCTCATTCTAGCAGCAATTAGGGATAGGACCCTGAGCTCCCAAGTTCTTATTATAAATCAAGAAAAGTAGGTGTAGCATCTTTTTCACTACAAAAAATTTCATATGCTCACCCAGTCACCTCAAATGCTAATATTCTTCAAGCATAGCAATGTCATTGATTTGTTCTATAAATATTAATGAAGTAGCTAGCACCTACCATGTAGCTAGCTCTGTACAAGCTCCTAAAGAATCAAAGATTAAGAAGATATGTCTTTGGTGTTTGTCCTTATACTCTAGTGAGAGAGATAATAACCAAACAAAAGTGATGTTGGGACCCAGGTGAGTTGTGGAAGGCTTTATAGGGTGACATTTGAATGATCTCTTGGGGGTTGATTAAAATTGATTAGGGCTCTGGCTGATTTGGCTCAGCGGTTGGAGCATTGGCCTGCGGTCCAGAGAGACCCAGGTGCAGTTCCTGCTAAGGGCACGTACCTCGGTTGCAGTTTGTTCCTGGCCCTGGTTGGTTGTGCGGGTGGCGGCCACTCGATGTGTCCCTTTCACGTGGATGTTTCTCTCTCTTTCTCTCCCTCCCACGCTATCTGAACAAAAAATGGAAAAAAAAAAAAATGTCCTCGGGTGAGGATAAAATTGATTAGGTAGAGATTAGGAAGGGAGAAATCAGAGGTTATCTAAACAAGGGGAATGGCTTTTACAAAGGCACAGAGATTTGAAAGAGCTTAATATAGTTTGGGAAAGCAAGGTATATTGGATTCTTCTAAACAGCAAGGAACAGAGACACCTCTGGGTTACCCAAGGTAATAGGATATATGCAGTAAGGACAAACAGGAAACAGTTTCAAAATCAAAAAGCTACATCTGATGTAGAATTGGAAAGTTGCTGGGATATGACAGCAACTGTACAGTAAGACCTCATTGAGAAATGCACCATTATTCCTGACAGTTGTAGTAAAAATACCTAATACTTAATTGCCTTCCTGCTATTAACTAGACCCTGGGCTTACACGTAATGGTTTACTTACTCTCCTGTGAGGTAAGTCTTATTACTATTCCCATGTAACATACAAGAAAACTGAGCATTAGAGAATAAACAGTGGAATCAGAATAAGAATGTTGGCAGACTGACTCCAGAAACAGTGACTTGCGCAAGGTCACACAACTAGAATTTGAACTCAATCTGCCTTCTCTCCAGTAGTATATAAACTGATCTTCTAGTAACTTTGTTCCTTCATCTTTTCTTTTCTCCTTACACATTTCTTTTTATTACTCTACCTTGGATTAGCTTTGCGAGTCTTGTGGAGTGCTATCAGTTAGTACCTGTTTGCTATAGAACATTTTTGCCAAAGTTTACTTGTTTAACTACCACACTGGCTGATGGCTAACCTTGGTTGGCTCAGTCTATTGCCCATTCAGACGTGGTTAAGAGCATCAGGATCATGTGGTACTAAGCAAGGCCATATATAAATAATAAATGATTTTGGCAGCTTTATTTGGGAGGGGACTGTGGGTATGGCAGGCAATTAAAATGATAGTAGATGAGGGTAAATGAGTAAACACACTAAATCATGGAGGCCTTTTTTCAATCAAGAGTTTGGAATATATCTGAAGGCAGTGGAAAGCCATTGGTTTTTTGTTTGTTTGTTTGTGTGTGTGTTTTACACTCATTATTATTTTATATTAGTGTCAGGTATATCCATTGTTTTATTGTGTTCTTTTCTTTAAAGAAAGAATCAAAGTATTCGGGTTTTGAATTGAGGAAAGAGAAATTGTAAACAAGGAAACCAGCCTGGGGATTTTGTAATAGTTGAGAGAGACATAATGGTGGAGGAAATGGAAAAGGTGAAAGGGATTCATATGTGCAATAGATGAGCTTGGTGACCAATTACATGTGGAGGAACAGGGAAAGGGAAGCATAGAAGATGGTGCCAAATCTTAGGACATTTGAAAGGGAGGGACATGGTGAATATTCAGGAAGCCACATCAAAGAGACAGTTGGAAATGTGTCTGGAGTTTAGGAGGGAAATTGGAAGAGCAGATATAGATTAAAGGTTGGTGGTATCACCAGTACCCAGTTGTCCTAACCAAATATTGGAGAGATCCTACTTTATTCCTTCACCTTCTACATCCAGTCACCAACTGCCAATTTTATTACCTAAATATGTTTTAATTCCATCCCTATTCTCTGTCACCATTTATCTTCTCCTGGCTCAAACTCTTTATATCATTCATCTATACTGTATAGTTTTCTCATCTTCATTCTCATGTTCCCCTAATTCCTCTACACAACTAATAGGTGATATTTTGAAAAATAAATTTGTTCATGTTTCAAACCGTTTGGTGATTCCCCTTCATCTGTAAGATAGAGTTTAGCTCTTTGCCTCTTATTCATCTCTATCCCTACAGCTTCATCTTTCACTTCTCAACTCAGTACTCTGCTGACCAATTTATAGCTCCACACTCGTACCAGGAACTTCTTCTACCTTGGTTTGCTTCCCTGACCAACTCTTACTCAATTTTTAAAATCCCATTTGGTTTTCATGTCCTCTATAAGGTCTTCTCTGATGTCTGTCTCTGAAAAAATTTACTTATTTGTTTTACTGAATATATCACACTCTTCAGTTTTCAGGCTTGGCCTCCCTACGATTATTCTGTACACCTTGAGGGCCTCCTTACTATTATTCTATACACCTTGAGATATTATGTTTTAATCTTCTTTATGTCCCCAGTGCTTAGTACATAGTACTTGCTCAGTAAATTTTCAGTGATAACTAAGTTTATTTTTTTATTTTTTATTTATTTTTTATTGTGCAACTTGTCTTTATCACTTAACATTACACATATATCTTTTCATATAAATACGTATAGATTGACCTATTATTTATTTATTTTTTTTATGAAATTTTTTTATTTATTTATTTTTTTGTTACAGATATTTTACCTTTTTACCCCATTGGCACCCCCCACCCCATCCCCCCTCCACCCTGTCCCCGGCTTAGTTGTCCATGTCCATTGGTCATGCATACATGCATATAAGTTCTGTGGTTTATCTCTTCCCACCTCCCCACCCCCCATCCCCTCTTCTGAGGGATGTCAGTCTGTGCCCTACTTCCATGTGTCTGGGTCTACTGTATTCCTCAGACTGTTATGTTCATTATGTTCCGTATATAAGTGAGATCATGTGGTATTTGTCTTTTTCTGCTTGGCTTCTTTCACTTAGGATAATACTTTCCAGGTCCCTCCATGTCGTCTCAAAGGATAAGAGATCTTTCTTTCTTACCGCTGCATAGTACTCCATTGTGTATATGTACCACAGCTTTTTTATCCATTCATCTACTGGTGGACACTTGGGCTGTTTCCAGATCATAGCTATTGTAAATAGTGCTGCTATGAACATGGGGGTACATATATTCTTCCTGATTGGTGTTTCAGGCTTCTTAGGGTATATTCCCAGCAGTGGGATCACTGGGTCAAATGGAAGTTCAATTTTTAATTTTTTGAGGTAGCACCATATTGTTTTCCATAGCGGCTGCACCAGTCTGCATTCCCACCAGCAGTGTATTAGAGTCCCCTTTTCTCCACACCCTCGCCAACACTTGTTGTTTGATGATTTGTTGATGGCGGCCATTCTGACAGGTGTGAGGTGATACCTCATTGTTGTTTTAATTTGCATCTCTCTGATGATTAATGATGTTGAGCATTTCTTCATATGTCTCTTGGCCATTTGTATGTCCTGTTTGGAGAGGTGTCTATTCAGCTCCTCTGCCCATTTTTTAATTGGGTTCTTTGTCTTCCTTTTGTGGAGTTGTATGAGCACTCTATATATATTGGAAATTAACCCCTTATCTGATACATCATTGGCAATGATGTTCTCCCATACAGTGGGTTGCCTTTCCATTTTGATGATTGTTTCTTTTGCTGTGCAGAAGCTTTTTAGTTTGATGTAGTCCCATGTGTTCGTTTTCTCCTTTATTTCTGTTGCCTTGGGTGATGTATCAGTGAAAATTCTGCTCCGTATGATGTCCGAAATTTTGTTGCCTACATTTTCTTCTAGAATTTTTATGGATTCACGGGTCACATTTAAGTCTTTTATCCATTTCGAGTTTATTTTTGTGTATGGTGTAAGTTGATGGTCTAGTTTCATTTTTTTGCATGTAGCTGTCCAATTTTCCCAACACCATTTATTAAAGAGGCTGTCTTTACTTCATCAGTGATAACTAAGTTTAATCAGCAGTCTGAAATGCTTTAGTTAGGTTAACATAGTAGTTGTTGGCAGAAAAATGATATGGAAAGAAACTGGCCTTGACATCATTGAGCCTTTTCTCCAACCTGTCCTCTTCTAGACCTTACTATTAGATGAACCAATAAACCTCCCTTAATGTTTAAGAGGTCTGAGCCAGATATTGTTAGTTGTAACTGATACAAGTGGTTTTATAAGATAAAAAGCACTATATTTTCATATTAACAATTTTAAAAACACATTAACTTTTTTTTTTGTTATTTAACAAATACTCATGAGCATCTATTATGAGCAAGACAGATTCCCTAGTGAAGGTTGTTTGACTACCAACTGCAATGCTTCCTTTTTCACTTGCAAGAAGTAGGGGATGGGAAGAAGGTGAGTGGAGGGGAGGAACAAATTATTTGTATAATTTTAGCTTTTATTAATTTTTGAGGGACCAGTACATTTTTGTATAACTTTAAAAATCAACTATGAAAATAATTTATTCATGAAAATGTTTACCGAAATGCATCTGTTTGCTCTTTGTTTCCAAGGTTCTAAAAGTTTTGTTCTGAAGGATTTGTTTTGTTTAGGGTAAAATACAACAAAATTTAACAAGCAAATATTGAGCTCTTGCTATATACTGAAGATACATAGTTTTTGCTTTTTGGGAATTCATTGTCTAGTAGGGAGAAAGACACATAAAAAGGATGACACAATGACTGAAGTACTGTAATAGAGGTATGTACTGAGTGTAACAGGATCAGAGGAAGGAGCCATTAAGTTGGTCTTAGGGAAGTGTGAGTGTTAATGGCAACTATTCTAAGCTTTCACTGTAATGGATATTTTTATCCATTACTTGTACCTCCTATAGTGAACTAGTGTGATTGCCAATTATGTCCTGCAATATATAAGTCCTGTGAGAATAGAGAATACATACCTTGCTGATGATGTTATAGTAATGTGAAGTATTTATTATATAGAGTAAAAATATATAGTTACCACAGAGACAAAAGATTATATTATGACTATTTCTATTATGATGCTATTTCTGTTCTTCTATTGCTTTACATGGAATCAGTGGGCTTATGGACTATGTCTGTACATTAGTAACGGGATTTGAATAGGTTTCAAACCATTTTAATAATAGATTAGAGCATGGTTAGTTGTGTTTGTTGCAGGGGGTAATAGAAAAGGGCTGAACTGTCACATTCTTGACAGCCAAATCTGCATTTCAGACATGGTATTTAACAATAGTCAGAACAAAGTGTACCATTTTCTAATCTGTATTGTCTATTGTTAGATCTGGTTTGCTGGTGTTATTGACTGCTTACTTCTTTGACTTCAATTTTAGAAAGATTAAAAAAATGGATTCTGCACAATAAACTAGATTACTACTTTCTATTTTTTTCAAAATAGAAAATCAAATAAATAGCAGAAGATAAATTTTACTATTATTGCCCAGACAGTGTGGCTCAGTGGATTCAATGCCATCTCATGGACTAAGAGGTCCCCGTTCCATTTCTGATCTGGGCAGATGCCAGGGTTGCAGGCTCGATCCCCAGTAGGGGGCATGCAGGAGGCAGCCAATAAATGTTTCTCTCTCACATTGATGTTTCTATCGCTCCCTTCCTCTCTCTCTAAAAAATCAATAAAAACATATTTAAAAAAAAAAAATGTTTACTGGAATAAAAAAAAGCTCTGGCTGGTTTGGATCAATGGTAGAGCATCTGCCCGTGGACTTCTGGTCAAGGGCATGTACCTGGGTTGCAGGTTCAATCCCTGGCCAGTTGGTGTGTCTCTCTCAACATCAGTGTTTCTCTCTCTATCTCTCTTTCCCCCTCCTTACCATCCATTCTAAGAATTAATGAAAAAATATCCTCAGGTGAGGATTAACAACAACAACAAAAGGAATAAAAAGAAATATTTTTTGGAAAAGTAGTCTTACTCTTTTAGTGAACTTACTTTTGTTTTCACATACAACTTTTAGAAAATTAGATTCTAAGCCAGTATTAAATAATGTTCTTTGGAATGAACTAAGAACAACTCATTTTTATATTAACATTTATTTTATGTTATGTCTGTATTTTTTTTTTAGTTTGTTTTATTTCTAAAACTTATTTTATAAAAATTGGTATATTGTTATTAGTTTTTTAATCCTCACCTGAGCACATTTTTGCATTTATCTTCAGATAGAGCAGGAGGGAAAGAGTGGGGAAGAGAGAGAAAGAAACATCAACATGAGAGACACATTGACTGGTTGCCACTCACACAACCCCAACCGGGGCCAGGGACAAACTGCAACCGAGATATGTGCGCTTAGCAGGAACCGAACCCAGGACTCTCTGGTCCGTGGGCCGAGGCTCTAACCGCGAGTCAAAGCAGCCAGGGCAAAATTAGTATATTATGTATTTATGAGTATCACTAATTAAACTATGGTTCTTTTTTATTCCTGACAGGCTTCTAAGAGAAGAAATCCATACAGATGTTACTTTCTCTATAGGCTGTACTTTGTTCAAAGCACACAGAGCAATTCTTTTAGCAAGAGTTCCTGACTTCTATTTTTGTAGTATTGGACAGACATCAAATGATTTAACAAATCATGAGCCTATTGCTGTGGAGAACTTTGAAGCTTCAGAATTTAAAACATTTTTACAGTAAGTCCTTTGTTATCTTTTTTCCTTATATTTAAGAGTAATATGTAATTATTTTTAAAACATGTTTTAATTTCATATATTTTTATAAACTTCTAAGAAAAATCCTTTTATTTGAATTCCGCATTATCTTAGTATTAGTAGAGGCTAAATATTAGTATTGGAGTATTAGGAGACTTAGTATTGGGAGAGGCTAAGTACTAACTTGAAATTGATCCTGAGAGAGAAGAAATGAATAGTGTGCTCTCTGTTAATTTCCATGCCAGAGTTTCTTAACAGTGGCACCATTGACATTTTGGGTTAGATAATTCTTTGTCATGAGGGCCATGCTGTGCAGTAGCACTTCCCCTCCCCATCCTTCCTAGAGCCCCTTCCCCCAAGTTGTAACAACCAAAATGTCTCCAGACCTTGCCAAAGTCCTCTGGGGGCAGGGATAAAATTGCCCCCTGTTGAGAACCATTTCTATACTGACTTCTATATTATTAATATGCAAAGCTTTAAGTAAATTATGTATGTTTATACAAATATGAGATAAATTTTATTCTCATGGCTTATGTGTGATCAAAATTTTTGAAAATAGAACTTCCATTGAACTTGTGTGTGGTGAACTTAGAGAATTGTCATTGCTAAATAATGGGGTATACTGGTTTATATTAATTCCCATATCTAATTGAATAGAATTCCATTTTAATACTTTGCTGTTATCTGCACATATGTGTAAGTATTTGACACTAATTTTTGCTAGGTGTATCCAGGAGGGAAGTACCTTCTAATGTACTTATTCAAAATTATCTCTCTTTTTAAAAAACCTGTTTAAATGACTTTAGAGAGATCTTAATGACCTTAGTGCGGTGATTTTCAACCTTTTCCATTTCATTAGTTTGTGTGTATAAACTAATTACTAAAATTCTGTGACATGCAGATTTAAAAAATTTTTTGCCTGACAAAAAAAAGAGGTATAATTTTGATTAATTCACACCCGCTGGCTGTTGTGTTGGCTGCTGTCATTTTTTTACTTAACAATCTAAGGGAAAAGAGGTCAGTACCCCTAACTAAATAGTCAGGTATTGCAAGTTTTAAAAATTCTTGTGGCACACCTGTTGAAAATCTCTGCCTTAGTATTTAAGAACATGGAATCTAGGACTAGAATACGTAGGTTCAGATTCCCTGCTCTGCCATTTGGTAGCTGTGTGGCTCAAGCTTAACCCCTGTATGCTTGGAATTTTCTCAGATGTAAAATGCCTGACATACAATAAGCACTATAAAATTGTTAACTAAGTATTTTATGTTTGTAAATCTTGAAGTGTTTGTATTTCATTTCAGTAATTTAAATACTGCCATTTCATAATTTGTTTTTTTTCTCTAATATATGGTAGTTAGTATCATTCTGATACTATTTTTGTAGTTTTCTGCTCTATCATCTCTCACATACACTTAGTAGATATTTATTGTGTCCTGTTTTGTGCAAGGCCCTGTGTGTACTGGCTAGTGATTTTTTTATTTCGGTGATTAATGACAAGAAGTGTACGGAAGGGGAGAAATTTCCCTTTCCCACCCCTGGTTCTTTTGGCTGGCCAAATAATCAAATCAATAGGAGGCAGATTAACAAGAGAAAATTTTAATTTCATGCACATGAGAACCCCACATACATGAGGGAGGCAGAGATAGAAAAGGGGGATTGAGGTATTTAAGACATTCTGAGCTAGGGATGAGGTGATGCATTTTGGGGGCCTCAAAGGGTTATTACAGGATGATAAGAACAGATGTTTATTAAATTGAAGTTTGCTCTGCCATACAGGTGGGTCAAAAGGTTATTGCTGATAATTTCTTATTATGGGCAAGACCCCTAATTCAAGTTCTTCTAGGTAGTTAAAGGGAGGGGAGAAATTTCTCATGAGCCTGAAGTTAAAATTGACTTTAGTTCAAAATAATCTGCATATAACTGAGGCACACCTTGGGGTAGCTTGTTCTGAGCCTCCACACAAGTAAATGTGGAACTAAGTTTTCTAGATGATACTGGCAATTATGTCATTATATAGTACTATAGATTTGTCAATTACCAGTTTTTTTTTTAAAAAGTCTCTATTTATTTATTTTTGCAGATCTAATTGGCTTTATTAGGCAATTCATGAATTGGGCAGTATCCTATCTAGCAACTAGAAGGGCCCTTCAAAAACATCTTTGCCCTGGCTGATTTGGTTCAGTGGTTAGAGCTTGGGCCCGCAGACCAGAGAGTCCCGGGTTCAGTTCCCACTAAGGGCACGTACCTCAGTTGCAGTTTGTCCCCAGCCCGGTTGGGGTCATGTGGGTGGCAACCACTTGATGTGTTTCTCTCATATCGAAGTTTCTTTCTCTCTTTCTCCCTCTCTCCCTCCCACTGTATCTGAAGATAAATGCAAAAATATCCTCGGGTGAGGATAAAAAAAATCTTTAATGAGATAAAATTCACATATCATAATATCATTCACCCATTTAAAGTGTACAATTCTCCCTGGCCAGTTTGGCTCAGTGATTGGAGCATCGGCCTGTGGACCAGAGAATCTTGGGTTCGGTTCCCGCTAGGGGCATGTACCAAAAAACAAACAAACGAACAAACAAAAAACTGTACAATTTAATGGTTTTAGTAGTTCTTTTTTTAAAAATTATTTTTGCTAATTTATTTTTGTTACAGGTGTTTCTCCTTTTTTCCCCCATTGACACCCTCTTCCCCATCCTGCGCCCCCAACCCCAGCTTTGTTGTCTATGTCCATTAGTTATACATACATGCATATAAGTTCTGTGGTTTATCTTTTCCCTCTGCCCCCTTCTGAGGTTTGTCAGTCTGTACCCTACTTCTATGTCTCTCAGTCTATTTTGTTCATCAGTTTGTTTTGTTCATTATAGTCTACAAATAAGTGAGATCACGTGATATATTTGTCTTTCTCTGCTTGGCTTGTTTCGCTTAGGATAATACTCTCCAGGCCCCTCCATGTCATCTCAAAGGATAAGAGATCCTTCTTTCTTACAGCTGCATAGTATTCCATTGTGTATATGTACCACAGCTTTTTAATCTACTCATCTACTGATGGACACTTGGGCTGTTTCCAGATCTTAGCTATTGTAAATAGTGCTGCTATGATAATAGGGGTACATATATTCTTTCTGATTGGTGTTTCAGACTTCTTAGGGTATATTCCTAGAAGTGGGATCACTGGGTCAAATGGCAGTTCAATTTTTAACTTTTTGAGGTAACACCATAGTGTTTTCCATAGTGGCTGCACCAGTCTACATTCCCACCAGCAGTCAGTGTACTAGAGTCCCCTTTTCTCTACACCCTTGCCAGTACTTGTTGTTTGATGGTTTTAGTGTTTCTACAGTTGTGCAACCATGATCATAATTTAATTTTAGAGCATTTTCAATACCCTACAAAGAAACCCCATATACATTATCTGTCACTCTCCATTCCTGCACCCCCCTGCCTTAGGCAACATTATCTACTGTCTGCGTCTATGGATTTACCTGTTCTGGACTTTTCACATAAATGGAATTACACAATTGTGGTCTTCTGTGACTGACATTTTACTAAGCATGATGTTTTCAAGGTCATTATGTGGCTATACCACATTTTGTTTATTCAATCATCAGTTGATGGACATTTATGCTGTTTCCACTTTTGGGCTATATGACTCATGGTGCTATGAACATTCATATGCAAATTTTTGTGTGAACTGGTGTTTTAATTTCTCTTGGGTATATACTTATATCAGTATATAAGTGGAATTGCTGGGTTATATAGTAACTCTATGTTTAACTCTTTGAAGAACTGACAGACTCTTTTTCCAAAGAGGTTATACCATTTTACATTCGTACCACCAGTGTATGAGAATTTTAGTTTCTCCACATCCTGATAACATTAGTTATTATCTTCTGTTTTTTTATTATAGCCTTCCTAGTGAATATCAAGTGGTATCTTGTGGTTTTCATTTGTGTTTCCCGGATGGCTGATTTTCATGCGCCTATTTGCCATTTGTATATATTATTTTTTATTTATTTATTTTTTTAATCCTCACCGGAGGACATTTTTGCATTTATCTTCAGATAGAGTGGGAGGGAGGGAGGGAGGAAGAGAGAGAGAGAAACATTGACGTGAGAGAGACACGTCGACCAGCTGCCACCCACACGACCCCAGCCGGGTCCTGGGACAAACTACAATTGAGGTACGTGCCCTGAGCAGGAACTGAACCCAGGTCTCTCTGGTCTGTGGGCTGATGCTCTAACTGCTGAGCCAAACCGGCCAGGGTTGTATATATTCTTTAGAGAACTGTCTATTCACATCCTTTGTTCATTTTCAGTTGGATTATCTTTTTATTATTGAGTTATGTGTTTCATATATATATATATATAGAAAATGTGTTTCACATATATATAGAAAAGAAAATGGATTGTCTTTTCATTTTCTTGATGGTATTATTTGCAACACAAAAGTTTTAGATTTAATGTAGTCTAGTCTATCTAATTTTCTTTTGTCATTTGTGCTTTTGGTATATAGATAAATAATTGGCTAATCCAGGAACACGAGATTTATTCTTATTATTTTCTTCTAAGAATTTTATGCCTTTTTTTTAAAAGGAAGGTTTTATGGAACCACATGCTAGCCAGAAAAGGACCAGGTCCTGAGGTATGAAGTCTAAACCACCAGCAACAGCTCTAGGTGGAGTAGACAACATGTTCCTGGTTTTATGCCCTCTATAATCCATTTTGAGTTAATTTTTTTTGGTATGGTGTAAGGAAAGGGTCCAACTTCATTTTTGTGTATGTGATATCTAGTTGTTCCAGCACCATTTTGAAGAGACTATTCTTTCCCCATTGGATTGCCTGTACATCCTTGTTGAAAATCAGTTGCCCATTGCTGTGGACTGAATTGTTCACCCCAAATTTTATATGTCGAAGTCATAACCTCCAGTGTGATGGTCAGAGACTGTACTGTGCCTTTGGGAGGTAATTAGGTTTAAATGAGGTCATGA